TTTTTTTTTTTTTGGTAAGTTTATTTAAATGTATCCTGCAAGTTGTATTCGAATTACAGTAGCTTTAGCGCACTTCATTATTTTGTGTCATTTTATCTGAGAAGTTGTTAACTTGTACGTGAATAGAGCCATATTTATTTGAAACTAACACAAATTACTCTATAAAAACGAAAAAAAAAAAAAAAAAAAGATGAAAATGATCGTTGGAATTTCATGTGACAAACCAGCTTATTGTTAATTTTTGCGACCAAATTATCTTTACTGAATTCAAATGTATACGTTCATGTGTTAAGTTTTTACTGATTGTCAGCGCCCGATATTATAATAACGTATTTCTTCAGTCCATACATTTTGTAAATTTCAACGGGATAAAAAATAAATCACAGTAAATGAAAGATAATTTTTGCGTTTGTCGAATAATTATTTCATTTAGTCGATACTCCTAAATGTTGGGCTGAACTGGTGAAAGATGTAGCTCCCGGAGTAAGCCCTGAGTGACGCCATCGTTTGACGTGCCGTATGGGTGGAGGCCAACGCCAACCGCCAAGAGGGACAATAAACGCGCGACGGTGTAGCGAGAGTGTCGCCTGCCTCTCGAGAGGACAGCTCGACGCGGGCGACAGTGCCGATTGGTCGCACGCCGGGACAGGGGCGTGGTCGCATCCCATCGGGTACCTTGATCTCTCTTGCACGTTTTCCACTTTTTTTTTTTTTTTTTTTTTTTTTTCCCGACCCTTTCTCCTTTCGTGTCTGCATGGTGCGGATTATTACAAACCGGTTGACCTTGAGAGGTGCCGTTAAATCCATATGAACCACAGCCATTTACATGGCGGGCTCATTGTTATTCTTGTTAAATGTATTTAATAACTTTTAAAAGATGGGCTCCGAGGATGCGAGTATAACGACATGTAATGGCTGGGGTGGATGTACATTTTTTTTTCTTTCTTAGAGGGTATTTGCGTGTTTAACGCGAGACCCCTGGCAAAGTATATATAATGGGTGAGTCGCGCGTTGCGAGGTACCCTGTACTGTATACGGTGGTTTTGATGGAAGGGTTTTTTTTTTTTTTTTTTTTTTGTATTTCAATCGCTGATTGACGTGGGAAGAATTTTCTCGGGGAGTATAAGCACGCGTACGTGCGTATGCCGTGGAACATCGAATTGCCTTCTGTTTTTCTTTTATACGAGGCGGATTTGACATTGACAAATGACTCATGATTTTGATAATCTCGCCGTTCAGTGCCGCAATTTATAAATAACCACTCGGAGTCGTTTTTGTGTGTAAGTGTATACACGTATATGCTAGATCATACCGTAGTTCAATGTGATGTTTATCCTCTGATGTTTTTGTACATAGGTAATACGGTATGAATTTACCATTAAGTTTATTTTGACTACAAGTTTGGCGTATGAAATTTTCAATGCTATACTATTTTATTTTCTATTTATTTAAATATCCATTAATTTCTATCCACCACATCGGGTAACTGACACCATCTGGAACATGGTCATAGAAATGAATGATCCCGAAGTAAGTACCTTTGCACATTTTACGAGTGGCAAGGATGATTTTATTGTAAGGTCGGGAATTTGGATTTTAGCTCCTGCAATGTTTGCTACAAAGTGCCGAGCGAGAAATACATGATGATGATTGGTCCAACGCGTTACTGTTTACCGCCTGTGTAAAAGGTTCATACCGAATCGTGGAATATTTAATAAGCTGTAAGTTGCCTCTGGATAATAAAGATGCAGAGGGTCGATCTGCGTTATTCTATGCAGTGCTAGGTGGTGATATTAGAACGTTCAAGCTGCTCATGGATAATGGCGCGAATTTGCACCAACTCGATAAAAATGGCGCGAATCTGATGCACTACGCGGTTGAAAGTATTAACCATCATGACTTTGTCCAGTTATTACTCGAGAACAATGTAAACGTGAATGTTTGCTCTAAATACAATGGCATGCCGTTGCATCACGCGATTTACAGGAATTGGTTGTTCACGATTAATTCGTTGGTAGAAAACAATGCTAATATAAGTAGGGGGGACTTATACGGAAGAAATCCGTTTGTCGCTGCTATTGATATTGACTGGGGTATCGCTGACTATTCGTGTATGAATTACCTACTTAGTCAGAAGTCGTTGGATATCAATCAGGTAGACTTGGAAGGCCAGACTGCACTCCACCACGCAGTTATAAGGGGAAACGTTATTGTTGTGCAGCAATTACTCTACCACAGAGATACAGAGGTCAATATTCAAGATTATCATGGCAGAACCCCCTTAAATTATGCCATAGATGGTAACTATCTTACGATATTGGAACTCCTGTTGGACTTTGGAGCGAGTGTATCTTGCCTGTACGACTATCCGAGGTATGAATTTTTGAAGACTGACGTCAAGACTTCGCTGATGAAGTACATGATCAAGAGAGAAGTAGCCGACTTGCAGATAGAAAACAGTTTGAGAACAATTTTGTGCGATGAACAGCAAATCAAAAAAGATTGCAAGTACTTCAGGAATGTATGTATCAAGGAGGTTGAGTTGTTGAAGACAATGACAATGGACAACGGCAAGATAACGTATTATCAGTTTTTGCATGGCGACAGGGATAGATTGCATTGGTACACCAACNAAAAAAAAAACATTTAAATGAAAAGTTTTAAATGATTCATTCAATTTTCTTGGATGTAACATTACATAATTAGTTAAAGTTAAATTTTTAAAAATTAATTAAAAAAAGCACATAATAACTTAAATTTTATCTTTGAGCCACCTGATTTTATTATTGATTTTATGTGGAATTTTTTGTACTATACCTCCGGAGTATAATCTTTGGGGGGAATACACATTTACGTATTCGCAGCACCAACAGTACCTATATAATAGCTTCGTGCACACGTAAGCCCATACATAAATACAAACGCACGCGTACGTATATTATACAGCTGAGAAGAAACGAGGAGAAGCCGTCGGCTGCCATCAGGTGCACTTGATGCATGGGCGTGGGCGTAACTCTCTCTCTCTCTTGCAAACCCTGTATACCTACACATGCTGTACAGAGACATGGTCAGAGGTTCTCATTCAATTACACGGTGCTGCTGCCGTGACCTCGACAAGGACCTCCACTCGCAGCTCGGCCTCTTTCGTTTGCTCCTCTCGCGAATTTATGGTCGCAAAAGGAAATTCAGGACTATCATAGCTTGCGCACAATCTGCGATACAATCCCTTAAAAATTTTTTTTTTTTTTTTTTGTTCGCGTGTCATACGGTATTAAAGATCATTTTGTACTGGCAAGTTGAGAGATTCGAGTGGTTTCGTTACAGATGATAAGAAAGTGGGAAATTAAAAAATTCAAATATTTTACCGAATGATACGTTAAATCTTAATAATTCCGTCTTTTTTTTTTTAATTTTTTTATGTACGCATAAACAGTCAAGTCGTTAGGAAAAAATAATCCTACAGATACTGTTGTAACTATTACCCACTGGCATAGATTTGGTTTGGAAAAAAAAAAGTTACTGAACAGTAAAATAATATTTATTTAAATCGACTTGTAAATCGTCATATACTGATCCTATGACATAAATGATTAAAATTCGATTCTTTTTGGAATCACCATGCACTTAACACTCAAAACACGTGGCACTTATTGCTATAAACGATGTTCAAAAATAATTTGCAGATCGATAAAAGTTACAAATTAAATTAATTATCTACATGGAAGTGATGGATCTCACAATTATTTTTGCAATCAATTTTTACATCATCAAGATAAAATTTAAATTACAATGATATGTTTTTGGACCACAGACAAATGGTGCCTCGTTTCATGATGTATCATACGTTTATTGCGAATTATTAACCCCATAGATATTGAAACAACAATTTTTGTGGCCTTGTGTTACCTGCGCTACAAAGTACGACGATTCATCACGAATAAAGAAATTTTGGAGATTTTATGTTTTGATAAAGAACTGAAAAATCTCCTCGATATTAATTTAACCATTATACACATTCGTTTGTAGTATAACTTTTTTTTTTTTTTTTTATGAGGTAAAGTATGTTAAATATATTCAGATGGATACAATTGATGAAAAATCAGGGAGATCAAATACACACACGTTTCTTAATAAAAAAAGAATGTACACATTGGCAGGCAAGAAGGTAAAAGAACTTTGTTACACATGTTTTTTCCATCCTATACGCAGAAGAGCGATAATGGCACATTTTCTTAGGTATATCCGTTTCGTAACCCAAAATGTCTGTCCCAAAAAAATGTTCATCTCAATCCTGATCGTCAAAGCAAAAAAGCAAACCACCGCGTATAGTTAACACTTTTTTTTTTTTTTTTTTTCAACCCCAGCGAGATACGTATCGCAATACGTTTTCACGCGCATCAGCAAAAAAAAAACCCTTTTGGCATACCACGCACCTCGTACATACACCCATGCACCCCATTACACACATGCACACCGCGTTACGAGCCCACAAGAAGCACATTAGCCCCCCGCTCCCCCTCCGATCCAATGGCAGGAAGAATAAAAGGAAACATAAGAAGAAGGACGAGCAGCAAAACGAGCCCAAGATGAATAAGCCCAGGTGAGCATCTACCTCGAGCGAGTACGCGCGCAATACAAGCGATTAAAATCCGTTCAGCTCTCGTCGTGTACACGACTACCTACAATGTAATAATTGAGCCCCCCCCCCCCTCTCTCTCTCTCTCTCTCTATCTCCTCGAGTGGTGAAGCTGCGGCAGTGTATATCAAAGAAGAAGAAGAAGAAGAAGCAAAGGGATACAGAGCGGAGTCTGCAGCGCTATAAATCACGATGTTTGGCGGATCCCTTTGTCGACGAGCGCCTACATACCATCAGCCCTCGCTTACGTGTGTGTGTGTTGGCACAGATAAGCGATAGCTTGTGAGGGTGTGTATATCGATGTTCGGGGTCTCTACCCCCATAAACTCCTGCAACGTATACACACGGCGGTACAACTAATACAAGAGGAAGCCAACTCTACCAGAGAGAGAGAGAGAGAGATAGTTTCGCGGGCTCATTAACGGATTATTAATAACCCGGTCGCTTGATATTAATGACAAACGAGTGGATATGCCTCGGACTTTTTTTACGATACGCCCTTGTATACTTCTTTCTCCCTGTCTTGTATAGCGCACGGCTTTCTTGTATCTGGAGGACAGGGGAACTTGTGGTTTGTGGAGCTTGCGAGTGAACTTGGGCTTTACTTTGGAAACGATAACGAAAACCATGAATCGAATCATGAATCGTTGGAGCCTGGGAGTAGAGAAATTATTGATTTTCCAAACTAACGTGGGTGCCGGTGTCAAACGGATGCCGCAGGCTCGCGAGGAGCAAAAGATCGGTATACGGTTGGACGATATCGGGATTTGTACGAGAAAGTGCAAGCGAGGAAAAATGTTTAAAATCATTCATCGGCACACAGCTGAATCGACTAACTGTATGGTACATCCTCGCACAGCCGGACAATGTGCCAATCAGTTGTTGTCGGTACAACAAAAGTGCGCCGGTACAATGAGAACTTCTGGCTAAGAAACTCGCAACTCTTCGCTGTGTATCATCACAAACTCTTGTACACACGTGTAGAAGATATGATGAATTATGCAGCCGTTCTCGCGCATCTCTTGATGTCTTTGCAGTTGGTAGTCACATGGGCGGGCCGTGCAATTTGAGTGGCATTCACATCCAAAGTCGGGAACGGCACAAAAGCCGCGCCCGGTAGTGGTCTCATATGTCATTCGGGGAGTCGTCTTGCATTTACGTCTGTACTTACACGTGTAGGCTATACGTGCATTATAATCCTATCGGGGTTGCAAGCGTCTTACCAAAGGATGAATCGTTGAAGCGTAAACGATCGCCGATCGAGTCGAGCTGGCGCGCGTGTGGTCTTGGCTCGACAATTGTCATACGCCTGAAGATAGTCGACACCCTTTTTTAGCTGCTTCAAGTAGAAACATTTTACAAACTTTTCCCTTTTCGTCTTTTGGAAACATAGTGAGCTACAGTAAATGCAACTTTTCAACACTTCTCAATATGATTGTTTCTTCAAAACTTCTTCATGAATCAATAATTTGGCACTCTTAATCTCTGCTCTTACGTTTTTATCCTTCAGAATGCAGCATAATAAAGTAACATTAACAATTTTAATTGAAATTGGTCTTTTAATTTATTATGATAAGTTTTATAAATAACATTGCCCTTTGGCAAAGTAATGAGAAATTATTTTTATAAATTTATAAATTCTTTCTTGGTGCGATCATTTAATATTTGACAAAATTTTAGTTTAATTTATTTGTTCAGATCCAAACAATGAAGTATTACAGCATCGTTCTCCACAGACTGTTCAATCAGAAGTAATTGTTAATATTAGAATAATATTTGTTAAGAGTATAGATTTTATTTTATGAAAATATCTAGCCATAATTAAACTTGACATAAAGTATACCTTACAAATTTTAAAAAATCACTCAAATATTTTGACATTTTTTAATTTTTAGGATCAAAAATACAAATTCTTAAAAAGTTAGACCATACCATTCAAGATATTCTTAAAAATTTTAAATTCATCCAAAAAAATGCAATCACCATATTTATGTCATTGAAGTGGATGTCATCCAGAACGATTAACACGTCATGTCCTTGAGGTCTCACAAAAGTGAATTTAGTTAATAAAACAATCTTAGATAGGTTATTTAAAATTATCTAACAAGTATTACAACTTAAAAAAAATTAATGTACAGTGTGATAGAATGTACATGAAAAATTTAATAACAATTGATGAAAATACACTAGAACATATTAAGTGACAAATATTTTGTAAAACACACTTTTGCATCCTAAACAATGCGATGTACTTAAATACTTACAAAATCACATTATTATCCCACCAAAGAATAAAAATTATAAGTAAGATGATATTATTTTGATTATTACACGTTTAAATTAATTAATTCAAACGCAAGCTCAGAGCAGTGAAAATGGCCGACTGGTGATAACACAAAAATGTGATAAAGTCAGGTGACTCCAATCCGAAAACAGTTTACTTTTTAAGCCGCAGTCGGCTTGGCTATAGATGTACACGCACCTACTACATTACGCGTATACAATTAATACTAGTGCCTAATTGGTTGTGACACATGCTCATACCTCCTATGAACGGGATAGGTATAGACTGCTGACGCAATTCTTGGCTTGTTAAATTATTATTGCTATTAAGTATAGCAGTCAATAGTCGACACCCTAAAGTGAATAATGTCGAGCCACCGAAGTCGAAACAGCACACTTGATCTGTTGCAGTGTCTACAACCACTTATTTTTCTTCTTGGACTACTTTCTGGTAAATAAATAATGCGTACTGTAGAACAAATTATAACAATGGCAGATGCGCCTGTTCAAGTCACCACGTGATTATGTGGCTTCTTCTCCGTATCAAAGTGTACTATTTTCATCAAACATTTCTCTATCATATAGAATCAAGTTGCTCGTATCTACTTATGTAGGTGTCTTTTTTCTCCATGACTTGTTTACAGTAACAGGTATGTGATATATAATAGATCATAGATAACACGGTAGAGAAAATGGGTGGCTTCCAACGTACAGTGCTATAAGTAAAAGTTTCGTTGTTACGTGGTAACTTTATCAGACTCGTCCTCTTTGGCTGCGGTTGATTTTTTCCCGAGAAAACTTATAGCTTCTGACTCTTTGGACATAGCCTTTGTCCTTTTTGTAATAGTTATTACTTCACACACATCTAGTAAAACGTTGCTTCACGTTGTGCCACGTAACAACTATAAATGTCACTCGACGTAGAAGCCACAACATTTTCACGTAGTATTCAAGTATCAAAATGTTTAATAATTCCACATTGAATTATGGATGAAAGTAAATTTAATCTTCTATCCGTAAGACATCAGTGGTTTAAAACTTCAAGTTTTTAATTATAAAAAAGTGTGATACGCACTTTCTGAAGTCAGTCGATGTTTGATATCTTTAGAAGCATCGTGGTCTCTGTAACAAATTACATAAGAAGGCTGAATACGAAGTAATTTTTGTTTTGTTCACAGTATTTCAACATTTTTTTAAACTTCATCGGTTTCAACAATACAGATAAATAAAAAACGTATGTTATCCTACAAAAGATATGATTAATCAGTTTTTGAAAAAAAAAAAAACAATGACAACGGTAATGTTATCCAAAAACTTTTTTTTTATTGCATCTACATCTACACGTCAGTTGTGTCAAATGTTTAATATTATCCTTACTAACAAGTATATCCCAAAGAAAACCATCAATCTGATAATTTAATATGAAAAATTAGACTTGGGAGACATAGCATGGAAAATAGGGCAGTTACTATAAGAATAATCAAGTTTAAATAATTCCCACTACTTATATTTTCGATACGACGGTACACGTTTGTTACCCACTAAGTTTAGTGTAACTCAGTAGTTATTTTGGTTTCCTACAGTTAAAAGTTTTCAAAAACCGATTAAAAAATTACTACGATTTTTTCAAATTTATTATCAATTACAGTAGGCTACTGTAAATGGTAGTATAGTCTATACATTGTTTCTAAATATTTTTAAATGCTTTGTTATATAATATTCGTGGTTTTAAAGCATACTTTCTGAGCTAAATATGATTTTTGGATAAAAGAATTACAGTCAACCCCTGCAGATTAACAGAAATCGCCGATTTTTAAGGTGATATTAATTTCTATTCAATCTCGTCCGAGTTATTTGTGTACAATATTAAAAAAAATTTAATTCAAGTTATTTTCTTTCTTTCTTTGAGTATGTTCTTAAAATATCAAAAAAAAGTATAAAATATTGGAAAAGTACCTCTAGCATATTTTATTTTTCTAGTTTTAAATTTCTTACGAACCTATACTTTAAAAATTGTTGAGACAAAAACATCAATACGTAAGTACTTCTTAAATTTAAAAATGGTCCATGAAAATGTAAAATTTATATTATGAACCTTAAAACCAGATTCAGGGCATACAAGAAACTATATTGTAATTTTCTTACAATATTACAACAAACAATTTTATTTTACCGATTGCTTATTTTATTATGTCACCGATCTGACCATTTATTCGTATTACAATAGAATATACTTTCATTTTCCACAAGATTCACTTAAGTTTCCACGATTTTTCTCGTAATACAAAAATCACCCAATTTCTACTTACATAAAAAATTTTTGTATAAATACAAAATAGACTGCTGTTGTCATAAGCCTCAACTCTATCCTAATGGGACTGAGTTGGAGATACGAGAAGGAGAAGCTCTGGAAATCACGTGCATCAGCACACATCAATTCAATTTTCATTACCCCGTAGACGATGCAAATGATAATGTAAGCTATATTGCTGTGGCAATTTCATTACTTATTTAAGATGTAAAAAAAAATCTTTATAAATTACAACTTTTTTCTTTTTTTCATGTGAAGATAACGACAACAAATTATACTATTACCCAAAATGAAGACGGCAGTAAGACATTTCGAAGATCATCCACCGTCTTTGGTGATACTGGTTGGTATGGCTGCGTTGATAAAAACAAAACAATAACTAAGAAGACGAACAAAAACCACGATGATCCGTATTCGAGTTGGATATACATTTTCATCAGTTGTAAGATAATTTTGAGATTCATTTCCAAGCAAATATTCACGCAATAAGACCTTCATATACTATTTTCGAATATTTTTTCACGTAGCCAATAAGAGTGCGTTCATACAAATCTTAGAAGAAGAAAATGTTTTAATCAGTTTTCATTGTGTTGGATATCAGGCTGTTTTTCCATGTCGGACGACCTCTCCCAAATTCAACGTAACTATCAATGCACAAAAGAAAGTAATATCAATCAATTGTATTAATCTCACAATAAAAGGTAAATCATAAACTTACACCATATTTTAATAATATTTTCAATTAGTCCTTACAGATGCTCTTGTCCAGAGAAGAGATAAATTTTGATCCAAAAATTGGTTTCGTCATGAAAAATACGAGTTTTCTCAACCATCGGCTTGAATATTATACCATGTATACCTGTAAAGTCAATCAAGATGGATTATCTCAAAAGATAGATGTTGTTTTGGTCACTGTTCGTGATTCTTGTGTTCACCAACCGATAATCAAAATAAACGCACCAACGCAAATCACTGTAGGCTCAACAATCAACATGAAGTGCATCGTCAAAATTGAACTAGGAATCCCTTACCACATCTTCTGGGAGACCCCACGAAATTCGGTAAGAATAAATATATTCAGGCATACAAATAGCTACTACAGCATCATAACTCGGTGTCATTATCTCAATATTCTCCATTCGTATGAGATACTATTTAATGCATGTAATTATTAGACATTCCAAACCATAATGGATCCTATTCAAGAAGAAAAAAGCAACATTGTTGATTTAATAACATCAGAACTCATTCGAACTAACATCACTTACGATGATGAAGGAAATTACACTTGCGTAGTAAGGTCCTCGCTTCACGAAAATAAAGTTACTAAATATATTCGTGTACACAGTAAGTCACAGAACAAATTTTCTTTGATCATTCCAATGTCTAAAAAAGTGAAGAACAAAATTTGCATTTTTATCTGAAACTATTTTTACAGATCGTAATAAGGCGTACATAAACTTATCATCTAGTAATGAAACTAGACACCGCACAATTAACGATTCAGTGACTTTTGTCGTTCATGTCGATGCATATCCAACACCAACCCTAGTATGGTAAAAATATTATCGTTTGGCACGAAATTAGGAATTAATTGTTAAGTTTAGTGTGTAATATAAAATTTTTTAGGTTTGACCCCAGTGGCAAGGAAATCATATCAAGAAAAAAATTTACGATACTCAATATTAAACGGACAAGTAGTCTAACAATACGCAATATTTGCGCTGTAGATGATGGCATTTATACCCTTAGAGTAAATAACAGTGTCCTACAAAGGCAGTTCAATTTTAGTCTCAAAGTTCACGGTACTTTTAATCTGACGCATAATTACACTGAAAAAAAAATTTTCCCTGTTCAAAAATAAATTTAAGAAAATTGGTGATCAATAATACGTGCAAACATTTTTTAAATAATCTTTACTTTATTAAACTAGATTTTAGAAAATAAATTTTGTCCCTGGTAGAATATGGATATTTGTAAACAGAAGCTTGAGATGCATAGAGTAAGATTGATCCGTCGTTACTGATGGAAAAGAGGTTGAGTATTTACAGAGCATATTTTATGGTGATTGAAACGTATGCAGTCAATTGATGAGGTAATAGAAAAATGAAAGTATTTTACAAATAAAATAATACTGCATTATATTAATAATATTGACTGCAAATCGATTAAAAATTTATTCTCGTTTCTTTGTTAATTTTCAATCAATTCTGTATTATTGTCGATTTCTCATGAAAAATTATGTTAAAATAGATGTTTTAATTGACTTTTGTCTTCTAGATAAACTAAAATCTTAAAATTTCACAATAATCATTTCGTGATACTTCTTAGTAAGCTGTTAAATATTTTAGGATAATTTCTTATATCAACACTAAAAGAAAAAGTTTTGGGACGGAGCAATCAATTTCTTGCATCCAATAAACAAAATTAAAAAATTAGATATTTTTGAATCTTGAAAATTTTTTTCAGTGTATTTGTAGACGAATTTTCTTTTTATTCTTACAATAGTCTTCATCATACAAAGTTATAATTTTATGTTTGTAGCAAAACCAAATGTTTACATAGATTCGGGTAGTGTCAAATCTTATTATAGCTTTAATAAGAATGCAACGTTTACTTGCCTTGCTCACAGTAATCCTAAGTCTAAGATATCGTGGTATTACAAAAAATGTCTGGAATCACGAAAAGACTGTAATACATTAGAATTAGAGGTTTGTTTGGATTTAAATAATGTCATTTATTTATTTAAATTTATGATTTTACAAGTGTATTCAAAATAATTAAAACAATCTGAACTCTAGTAATAATTCATTTATTTAAGGGTATGGAAATATACAAACAGAGCAATAAAATAACCGAATCAAGATTAACAATAGACCTACAGATAATATACGGCCAAATAAATTGTACTGCTTGTAATAAACATGGCTGCAATTCTATGGTACAAGAAATTCATATAACTGGTATGTTTGATAATTATTTTGTCCTAATAGCTTCACAAAATATATATTTGTTTATTAGCTTAATAAATTTTCTTTGATAACTCAAATTTTTTTAAAGATGCATTACCTGGTGTCTCTTTTGGCATTATAAAGCCAAATGAAGTGTTTGAAGGTGATACTATTATTTTAACATGTGCTGCTGTAATTCACGAGTTCTCCTCGGTAAGATGGTTAGAAGATCATGGAAAAAAGTCCACGAATTATGGTTGGTTCTTAAACTCCTTATAATTAAAAATATTGAAATTGTACAGCATGTTTTGCTTGAACTAGTATTTTACAAAATTTTTATATGATTTTAGACAAAATAATATTCAAGTCAGATAATACCACTTTTACGCATCGAGCAACTCTATTGATCAACGGTGTTAGTCAGTCTGATGAAAAATACTATCATTGTGAAGCGACAGATTATGATGGTATGAAAAAAATGGAAATCTACTCCCTCAAAGTCAATGGTACTTCAACAAACAATTATTTATGAAATAAGCTGTTGTTCATTATTGTACAGTTTGATAATTTTTCGCGTTACACTTACATTTTTAGTTGTTAGGAAAACCTATTTTATTAAATATAAATGACATTGATGTGAAAAGGTTAGCATATGAAGATCGCTATCCTACATTTATTTTTATAATATTACATTGGAAGAGTTTAAAAACTAAAATGACGTAATATAAGAACGACAAATTTCTTGAGATATTAGAGCCATAGTTTTATCTCGGAAGCAGTTAATTGTTACAAATTAATAATAAGAGTTGAGACGGAATATTTAAAATTTTTTTTCCGCCCTCGGGTGGTTTTGGAAGGCTGGTACTTCCTCGGGCATAAAAGCAGTTTTCCGATACTCGTTCGAAAAGTCTCCTTCACGAACCTCGTTACGGACCTCGCCTTCGGCTCAGGCCGCAAACCTCTCGGTTCGCAAACAAAGACTTTTCAAACTCGTAGGAAAACTACTATTGCTACACACTGGAAATCAAAATTCAAACCTATTTTGTACCTATTTTCCTCACACATTTCCCGCACTCGTGTGATAGACTCGCACTCGTGGCCGGTGACGGTAACACGTACCTTGCGATTAACTGGTACTGGTTCCCGTCATCTCCGGCCACTCGTGCGTGTCAATCACGATTCGTGCGGGAAATCGTCTTTTCCGCACTTGTTACGTAAATAACTATTTTATTAAACTGTACAGTTATGAAAAAAAAAAAAAATCAAATTTACAGCTTAGATAAGCATACTGCAATCTTAAACTTATAAGTTAACACGATTGATTAAAATTTTAGAAGGTGCTAAACCCTTTATGTGGGCGGCAATGATAGTATGGTCAGTTATAATTTTAACATTTCTTATGGTTTATATTTACTTAAAAGTTCTTCGTGGAAAGGTAAACAGTAAATTGTAATAATTTTTTTAAGAAAATCATGTTTGAAATAAATCAGAAAAAAAAAAATTTCACAAATAATGGTATTTTTACTAAAAGATGAAGGACAAGCAACTGATGAAAGCTGATCAAATATTGCCAAGCTATAGGGAAGGAACAATTGATTACATATACCCAGAAGTAACAGTGGATTATCCTACCGAACTTCTTTTCTACGATATTAAATGGGAATTCCCTAGGAAAAAACTTCAGTTCGGTACGAAAGTACAAGTGATTGCTTCAAATGCAAATATGATTAATTTTGATTCATAGTTTTTGTTTTTTCAATCAAAGATAAACATCTAGGAAGTGGAGCCTTTGGAGTTGTATACAAAGCAACAGCACATGGGATTTGTTCCAACGAATCTTCTACTACTGTAGCTGTAAAAATGGTTCGTAGAAAATCTGATCCAATATTTATTCGTGCTCTGGCAAGAGAGTTAAAAATAATGAGCCATCTGGGGCAACATTTAAATGTTGTGAATCTTCTTGGTGCCTGCACAAAAAATATTGCCAAACGTATGGATTCAAGTATTAAACTGAATAAATATCTATTTAAAAACTAAAATTTGTTTTATAGAAATCCCACATAATTATGTTACAGACGAATTTCTATTGATCACCGAGTTTTGCAAATTTGGAAATCTAGAAGACTATTTGTTGCATCATAGAAAATGTTTTATCAATCAAATTGATGCAGCTACTGGTAAAATTAATCCATCCTTAGGAAAACTATTCAAAAGGTAATCATGTGATATTTTTTTAAATAAAAATAATCTTTATTATAAAATTATAGACCAGTACGTGTCAATATAAATAATTTAATTAAAAATATTTTTCCGCCCTCGGGTGGTTTTGGGAGGCTGGTACTTCCTCGGGCGAAAAAGCAGTTTTCCGGAACTCGTTCAAAAAGTCTCCTTTACGAACCTCGTTACGTCCCTCGCCTTCGGCTCGGGCCGCAAACCTCTCGGTTCGCAAACAGAGACTTTTCAATCTCGTAGGAAAACTACTATTTTAAATGATTTAATAAGTAGTAATGTCATGAATTTTTTTTGTTTTTGAACTTACAATCAAAATCATACTGTTTTTAAGACAAGTTAAGTCTAAAACCATAAATTTTGTCCAAACTTATAATTGTTGGATTTTTTTACATTAGTATTTAAAAGCTCTTTTTTAGTAACAGAAAGGGTGTTATATGAAAAAAAAACTTCATAGTTTTTCTAGGAAAAATCACAACTCTCTATGAACTGTAATCTTGAAAATAAATTTAACTTTTGTTTACAGCAATGAGCCTCTAAGCTCTTACGATTCCAAGGTGCACAAATACTGTGGAGACTCACAACCCGATTGTCCCTCTACCTATGTAGGTGATCACACAAATAGTAATCTCAATCCTGTATGCTCTCAAGATCTGTTATTATGGGCATTTCAAGTAACCAAAGGCATGGACTATCTCTTTCAAAAAAAAGTACGAACTTATGTGTAATCATGAATTTTTATTTACTCATTTTAATGAATTATTCTACATTTGTACTTACTTTGTAACTCTACTGATACCCGATAAGCAGATCTTGCACTGTGACTTGGCTGCGAGAAATATTCTACTGGCAGATAACAATATCGTAAAAATTTGTGACTTTGGCTTGGCCAAAAATTTCTATCAAGATTATAGTTTCGAAAAAGAAAGCTATGGACCTAAAGCCGTAAGATGGATGTCCATCGAGTCAATGAGGGATGGAGTGTTTTCGACAAAGTCGGATGTGTGGTCTTTTGGCATAGTACTTTGGGAATTTTTTACCCTCGCTGAAACTCCGTACTCAGAAATGGCGATAGAGCAGATATACAACCAACTTATCAAAGGCTACAGACTGGAGCAACCAAAATATGCCACTCGTGACATGTAAGTGTAAGAGAAAAAAAAATCTGATTTCTTTTCTTTATTTTATAATTTGTATTTTTAAACTGATCACGATTAATTTTAGTTACGAAATCATGCTTAGCTGCTGGGAGGTTGAGCCAAATATGAGGCCACGATTTACAGACCTGAGTAAAAGTCTCGGAACACTTTTAGAGAATAGCGTCAAAATAAATTTTTTGAAATTGTACTATACATATAAGAACAATGCAAATAATTTTGATAGAAAAAGTGACTGCATGTCCAAAACGTCTTCGTCAGATTACGTTGTACTGGTCCAATCTAAGCATGAGTACGTGAATGACTTACCTAAAGCCATAAAAGCATTTTACATTAACGTAAGGAATGACACTGCCTTGAGTTGACTCTCAGAAAATTTCTGACAACTAACATTAAATATGAGGAAATCTTAGACTATTGAAATGGTATTCGTTAATAATATGGACAAGCTGATTGTATACAGCCAAAAAAAGATTACAGTGTATATTTTAAGATAAAATATCATATAAGCAGACATTGTTTCATACAGGAATTAAATATATCTTTAATTAAATTGACATATATGTATAAACTCAAAATGTTATGTATTATAGAATTAGTTTATTTTACATGAGTCAATAAAATTATCTTTCTTTGTAAAAGAAGCTTTATTTCCACTGTTTTCAAAATACTTTATCGTTACTATACTGTTGCAGTTACTGCGGAAAAATGTATACGAACCAGTGATCGTAATTAGAGTAACTTAAAAATTTGATACACCTTAGCTCCTTAATTTTCAAGACGTTAATTCTTTAACACATGTTCTCATGAAGGAGGTTTTTTTTATTGTAATTGAATTTATTTATTCCAAGATCACAATGACCGAATTACGGCATAAAATACAATAGAGAGGTAATTATAATTTTGCACTTGGAATTTATTTTATTTTCGATTCTTCCACCCTAAGTAAGCAAAATGCAGTTTGCACCTGGTGTACGTCTAACCAAAGCAAGCACAAGGGTTCCTTGGGCTCGAGGTTTGCCTTGGCGATGTGTGCTAACAAGTACAAAACGTACATTAAACTTCATTGAACTTCAAGTATAGTTTAAAGAATAATAATTTAACATTATGTTTCAATAACAGCTCTGTTTTCATCGTTTTTTAATAATTGTAAGTTAAAATTTGATACTTGCAGACCCATTCAAACGGTTAGCGCATGTTGCAACGTCGTAGTGTAATAGGGGATATGTAGTATCGATATTTTTTCTATTTATGTGACCTAGTACACACGTAACTCGTGGAAAAATTTCCTACATTNATTCTTTGGGAAGATTTGGATCCTGCTAAAGAAAAAAATGAAGATATTTTGGAACAAGATTCTTATTTAATAACGTCTGAGATTATTTTAAACAATGTTGCTCTTAATGATGAGGACAATTATACTTGCGAAATAAGGACATCATTCAATGAAACGACAAGCGACAGTATATATGTCCGTGTTTATGGTGAGTCACTAAATGCAAATACTTTTTAAAAAATTTTTTTAGCTACAGAGATATGAAGATCTAATATTTATCTAAACGTTAATTTATCAGATCCAAATGTCCCATTCCTTAATTTAATGTCTGATAATAAAGAAAAAAGCAGCCTCATTGGTGGTACAGTAGTTTTTACAGCTTACGTTGACGCTTATCCAATACCAAAGCTCACTTGGTAATTTTTGTCTTGCACAAACAATTGCATTATTAACATAAAATTTCTTGCTTTCAATTAGGCTAACGATAAATATGGATTTCACAGGGTTGACCCTCATGGAAATGACATTAATAAAAATTTTCGAAGTCGCGTAATACGCTCATATCCTTATATTAAACTTAAAATAGTATCAATTCAGAAAAGAGATAAAGGAATTTACACACTGAAAGCCAATAACACCATTTTAGTAAAGCATTGAATATAGTTTACGATCATTTATCTTAAAACTGACTTGCATATTTCTCTAAATCTAATTCTTTAACTCTAGGTTAATAAAAAATTGCCCATAAAACAGCTTACAAGAATAAACGTGCCAAAGTGGCATTATAAAATGGCAGTGATTATGTGGCCAACACTACTTGTTTCACTTGGACTAAGTTTAGGTACGTATATAATGCATTAAAAAAGACAAAAAAAAAAAAAAAAAGAAACATGTGTCTGCAAGAATACTTACAATTGTTAGAGATGCGATTCATAGTTAATTATTGTATTATGTTGAAACTGGAGTGTTTTTTTTAATTATCACCAGCCAACGCATAAACCTAAGCTGTAATCGTCATTACGTTCTATTGGCCCGTGGATGCTATAGATTATTTTTATCAGTATTATGTAGGTGATCACACAAATAGTAATCTCAATCCTGTATGCTCTCAAGATCTGTTATTATGGGCATTTCAAGTAACCAAAGGCATGGACTATCTCTTTCAAAAAAAAGTACGAACTTATGTGTAATCATGAATTTTTATTTACTCATTTTAATGAATTATTCTACATTTGTACTTACTTTGTAACTCTACTGATACCCGATAAGCAGATCTTGCACTGTGACTTGGCTGCGAGAAATATTCTACTGGCAGATAACAATATCGTAAAAATTTGTGACTTTGGCTTGGCCAAAAATTTCTATCAAGATTATAGTTTCGAAAAAGAAAGCTATGGACCTAAAGCCGTAAGATGGATGTCCATCGAGTCAATGAGGGATGGAGTGTTTTCGACAAAGTCGGATGTGTGGTCTTTTGGCATAGTACTTTGGGAATTTTTTACCCTCGCTGAAACTCCGTACTCAGAAATGGCGATAGAGCAGATATACAACCAACTTATCAAAGGCTACAGACTGGAGCAACCAAAATATGCCACTCGTGACATGTAAGTGTAAGAGAAAAAAAAATCTGATTTCTTTTCTTTATTTTATAATTTGTATTTTTAAACTGATCACGATTAATTTTAGTTACGAAATCATGCTTAGCTGCTGGGAGGTTGAGCCAAATATGAGGCCACGATTTACAGACCTGAGTAAAAGTCTCGGAACACTTTTAGAGAATAGCGTCAAAATAAATTTTTTGAAATTGTACTATACATATAAGAACAATGCAAATAATTTTGATAGAAAAAGTGACTGCATGTCCAAAACGTCTTCGTCAGATTACGTTGTACTGGTCCAATCTAAGCATGAGTACGTGAATGACTTACCTAAAGCCATAAAAGCATTTTACATTAACGTAAGGAATGACACTGCCTTGAGTTGACTCTCAGAAAATTTCTGACAACTAACATTAAATATGAGGAAATCTTAGACAATTGAAATGGTATTCGTTAATAATATGGACAAGCTGATTGTATACAGCCAAAAAAAGATTACAGTGTATATTTTAAGATAAAATATCATATAAGCAGACATTGTTTCATACAGGAATTAAATATATCTTTAATCAAATTTATGTACATGTATAAACTCAGAATAATATGTATTATAGAATTAGTTTATTTTACATGAGTCAATAAAATTATCTTTCTTTGTAAAAGAAGCTTTATTTCCACTGTTTTCAAAATACTTTATCGTTACTATACTGTTGCAGTTACTGCGGAAAAATGTATACGAACCAGTGATCGTAATTAGAGTAACTTAAAAATTTGATACACCTTAGCTCCTTAATTTTCAAGACGTTAATTCTTTAACACATGTTCTCATGAAAGAGGTTTTTTTTATTGTAATTGAATTTATTCATTCCAAGATCACAATGACCGAATTACGGCATAAAATACAATAGAGAGGTAATTATAATTTTGCACTTGGAATTTATTTTATTTTCGATTCTTCCACCCTAAGTAAGCAAAATGCAGTTTGCACCTGGTGTACGTCTAACCAAAGCAAGCACAAGGGTTCCTTGGGCTCGAGGTTTGCCTTGGCGATGTGTGCTAACAAGTACAAAACGTACATTAAACTTCATTGAACTTCAAGTATAGTTTAAAGAATAATAATTTAACATTATGTTTCAATAACAGCTCTGTTTTCATCGTTTTTTAATAATTGTAAGTTAAAATTTGATACTTGCAGACCCATTCAAACGGTTAGCGCATGTTGCAACGTCGTAGTGTTATAGGGGATATGTAGTATCGATATTTTTTCTATTTATGTGACCTAGTACACACGTAACTCGTGGAAAAATTTCCTACATTGCTGAAAAAAATAAAAATTTTAATTAATTCGTACTGTCAATATCAAGAGTTAGCTGAATTACTAAATATTAGTTTTAAAGCTATCGTAAGAAAATCCTAAATCATAGTTAGGAATATTCTTAGAAGTACTTTTTTCATGAATCTCTGCTTTCACTTGTTTATTTTGCTAATTAGACATTTTACATTTTATTTTACGACAGTTCACAAAAAGTCTTCCTCATAAATTTGATCTTATATCACTTACTTATTTTTAAATATAGAAATACCGATAGCTATAAAATTATATACAAATTATATACTTGGTGCCGAAAGTTTACAGTCAAATCATTGTTTATTGTGTTTTTACGTGGGATCATCCGATTGATACCACAACACTTTAAAGTATATAATGTAAGTGGTGATATCACGGACAGAGCCAGTAATTCGAAAGCACTGAGATCTTCACTATCAAATATAGTGTCGACTCAGCTGCGCTCCTCAAGAATAACAGGTGAAAGATCCAATTTCTGTTTTTGGTGCGTCATTGAATATAGTTTACGATCATTTATCTTAAAACTGACTTGCATATTTCTCTAAATCTAATTCTTTAACTCTAGGTTAATAAAAAATTGCCCATAAAACAGCTTACAAGAATAAACGTGCCAAAGTGGCATTATAAAATGGCAGTGATTATGTGGCCAACACTACTTGTTTCACTTGGACTAAGTTTAGGTACGTATATAATGCATTAAAAAAAAAAAAAAAAAAAAAAAAAAGAAACATGTGTCTGCAAGAATACTTACAATTGTTAGAGATGCGATTCATAGTTAATTATTGTATTATGTTGAAACTGGAGTGTTTTTTTTAATTATCACCAGCCAACGCATAAACCTAAGCTGTAATCGTCATTACGTTCTATTGGCCCGTGGATGCTATAGATTATTTTTATCAGTATCGCCATGCTATATCATGTTTTTTTTTTTTTTTTTTTTTATTACCATCGTAAACGAGTACAGATACAATACGTAATCAATAAGATTATATGACCCAGAAATACAGAGAATAAGGAGAGAATGTATTTAATAAATTTAACCTCCACTGTAACTTCCTTAAAAT